ATTTCCAGTTCGAAAATTGAGAAAATCGGCCTCAGGAGTGGAGGAAATCAATTTATTGAAAAGGGGTAATCAATTTCCGTCAATTTTGACAGCATTTTTGTAAAACTTCAAAAATCCATAACTTTTGACTCGGGTGTCTGTTTGACGCATTGTTTGAACCTACAGAAATCTAAAATTATTTTCTATCATATAAAAATAATTTCGAACATAGTGGGTGATTATTTGTTGGTGGCTTATGACCTTCTGTATGTAATTTTGTCTGTTCTACTGAGATATGTGCATGGAATTATGTGTGATGATGTTGTATGATGTTGTTGGGGCTGTATGATTTCTATGTTGCATGTGTTGACAGATGGTGGCCTTAAGGGTATGTCACATTGATGGATGTAGATATCAATGTGATGTATTTTGTTGCATGGTTGTGTCGCATTCATTTCATGTTGTGTACTTTAATCCTGTTTAGTGGCTCTGATCCTAGATGACGTGGATCAGAAGTGATGTGAACCTCATTGTTCATGATGTTGGTTGTATTTGATACTAGATGGCATGGATCAGGAGAGATGTGAACCAAATTATTCACAATATTGGTGGCTCTGGTCCTATATATCATGGATTCGGGAGCGATATTGCTACAACATGTATTGAGTCTGTGAGCCTGTCTCATTTCATTACATTATTGTTAACATGATGTTTGAGTTGTGTGATTTGTGTATATACTACATGATGATGGTGGATATGTGTCGATGATTATGTGTGATTGTATAAGCAATATGTAATATAGTTGTTTTCGATGGTGTGAATGTGTGAGATGTGGAATGTATGACTATGCATGATTATATTCTCTATATACTTATTATTATACATTCTCTTATATTGTTGTGCTATCTCACCCTTATGTTGGAATGATGCTTTGTACAGCATCATGCAGATAATCAAGAGTAGTCTGAGGCTGCTGAGTTTGGAAGAGGTTTCTCTTCATTTTATTCGAGTTGGCGTCATTGCTCTAATAAGTAACACAGGGGGTGGGGGGAAGGGAATGAACACTTATTTATTTTGTAGTTTTAGTAATTTGTGTGGAGTCTTAGGAAATCCTTATGACTTGAATAATTGTTGATTTATTTTGAAGAGATTGTTTGACTTCAAATATGATTCTTTTTTCGTTGCATTAATAAAAGTTAAAGTTGAAGACTATGAGTTGATGTTTTGGTTCATCAGTTATTCGTGTTATGTATCTTATACTTAATATGAGCAGGTTTTTGTATGTTTGTGAAAATGTAGCATCCTAAATGTATGTTATTTGATTTAAAATTACTCTGACCTTTATTTATTATTCGTCATGGAATTTAGGGTGTTACACTTGGTCTTTAGAGTCTTCAGAACTTGTTCAACAAAACCTTGTCTTTAGAGTCTTTGACACATTGGTCTTCAGAGCCATGTCTTTAGAATCTTCAAAACTCGTTCAACAGAAACCTGTCTTTAGAATCTTCAAAACTTTGGAGCAAGAGAGCTTGAAATCTTTAGAGCTTGATAACCCTTCAGAAGCTCTACTATCAGAGTCATAGTTAGAAGCAAAAAAACTAACGTTAATCAAAACCGTTGTTTTAAAAAGAATTCTAAGCAATGACACACCCACTTGTATCTCTTAGTGTGTTGAGTCTAGAATCTGATGACATCATATGCCAATTATCCAGAGTCAGAACCTGTTAGGAAAAGCTACACATTAAACAAACCATTAAGGTACTAAATTGTTATCTAACTACATATGTAATGCTATCATCAAAACTCAAGGCCAAATGCAGAACCGAATCTTGTTCTTACAAGTTACCCATAGTGTACCCTATGGGCCAATATGGATTAAGGGTTGATGATGCAGCCATCACATTTTCTGAGTATATCGATGCACTAGGGTGTACGCAAGTCATGATAGTGTTGTCATGCCATACAATTGATCTCTCGGATGCAATGTGAAACTTAGGTAAGGGCCTTTGGTCTCCTAAGTTTTATGGCGATGCCTCTGCCACATCTAGCGGTATAGTCGACAATACTATTTGACTGATGACAATTGGAATTTCTTTAGCAAAAGTTGGAATCCCAATACTCCCAACACTCGTTACTACCGGTTGATCTCCCGTATTTGGATTATGACTTTGGGAAAGGGATTGATTTTTACGAGAAATTTTGGGAATATTCTTGCCACTCCTCAAAAACATAAACTCTCAAGAACGCATAAGTTTTGTATGGACAAAAACTATTCACAAGAAAAACATAAGGCACTTCTTTGAAAAAAAATGCTTAAGATATTCACACAAAAGGGTCCTATTGGGCGTGCCTATTTGTTTACAGGTGTTTTTGATAACAAATCACAAGTTTAGAAAGCAAGCGAGATTACCTCAAAAAATCTCTAAAGCCATTTGTGTAAATGATTTGTGTGAACACACTTCCGTGTGAATTGAATGCATTTGTCGTTTTCACGATAATGGTGCAGAAACAAACTTTAGATGAAGTTAAGTTGTAATAAATGATATGATAAAATACAGTAAATTATATTAAACAAGAGTAAAAATGAAAATAAGAAAAATAAAATGTTGCATTTAAGGAGACGAGAAAGCAATGAAAAGACTGGACGGAGACCTGTATATGTTTCTCACATATTGTTTTTCTCTTTGACTTAGGTACTTCAGTGGTATGGAGATTTTGTATGAAATTTTGAAACCCATGTTACAATGTATGAGTCGGCTATTTATTCTATTTACACAATAACCGTCGACAACAGTTTTGACCACTATGGGACCGATATGCCACACTCTACATTTGATCTTTAGGTTCCCTCTAGTGTGCCTACGTGTCATCCATGTTTCCCTCTGTTTACAACCTATGTTGAGTTATAACTGTTTTAAGCTGCCCCACGAACTTGTGAGAGTAACTTTCCAACGTGTTGTTGACGTTGCTTGCAAATGTCTTTTGAACTTTGGAAAATTACTAAGTCTTTAACCTTTGTGGTTCAGTCGACTGGTATGTTGGCTGCAATGGAGGTTCTGTCGACTTCCCTTTTAAAAATTCTGAACATGTTTCCAGATGATACTAATCTTTTGGATCTGTTCCTGAGATTCCTCCAAACCATGATTCCTCTCGTTGACACCATTATAAACGATTTGTCGACGCTTCATCATCAATGTTCTATTAAAACGCTTCATTAATGAAAATACTTAATTAACTTCTTCTAATAAGAAAATGTCCTTTTATTTTGACATTCTCTGTTAACTTTCTTCTAGCCGAAAATCCAAGTTTAACAAGGTGATGATGAGCATTGAGGAATGTGTGCTACTTGTCTCTACTTGTTTTTTGACTGAACAACCTTTGCATGTGTTGCATCTATAATATCCCCTACAGATTTCGTAGTAACCATTTTTTCTTTCATGTTATGATATTCTTCTTTTCTTCTGTCATAACAATTATCATACAATTTTTTCCTATAATGTTGTAATATTGTAATATTCTTTTCTTTTGTCATAACAACTATCATACAATTTTTTCTCTCTTGAAATATTGTAATGTTATTTTTGGTGTCTTATTGTAGCGAAGATTTTATATGTAGACACATCAACAAGATAATAGATGGATATGTGGATATTATGTCATGAACAAATATGTTTGACATTGTTGATGCTTCTATTGTTGAAAGATTCAATGAGGTAGTATAATTTAAAATATTTTTGTATTGTATGTATTTATTAAAAAAGACATGTAAATTATCGTTTTAATATGTAATTGTTTAATTTATTATCTGTTGAGCTTGTAGATATTCACAGACATCTCATCGTATAAAAAAAAAGTCAATTGACCACATTCGATAATTTTGAACTCAATATTATTTACAAATGATCAAAGAGCAAAAGATTGAAGACAAAAATAAAGTGTATTATGGCATATTTTTACACCCTATTTAAAGAAAATAGAGTGTAAATTTATTGATATTCATAGTAATCATATTCATTTTACATCCAATTTTTATCAAATGGAGTGTAAATTCATTTAATTTAAATTATATGTGGAATTAAACCCATTTTCTCTAAAAGGGTGTAATATACTCTTTATTTACATCCGTTTTCTCTACAAAAGAGTGTAATATACTCTTTATTTATATTCATTTTAAAACAGATGTAAATTCTTTAGACATATTTCACCTTTGAATTTACACCCTTTAATAACATATGTAAGATATTTAAAAAAGGATGTAAATTCCTCTTTCAAAACATTTCACTAGTATTTTTTAAATTTAATACCATATTAATGATTATTTTTCAAAATATCTCTTAATATTTATTTTATAATGTGTGCAGTAAAAATTAATTTAAATAACATTACAGGAAAAAGAAAAAAATTATTTTAACTAAAACATATTTTATAATAAAGGAAAGGTACAAATTACAATGTATTACAGTTAATTTTTAACTTATATATACAAATTACAATATATTATAGTTAATTTTTAACTTATATATACCCTATGAATACAAATTAATATTTTTTATATTTGATTTCTGCATTTTTAACAGCACTTAAATTTTTAATCCTTTCTTAGCACTCAATAAGATTTGTTTTAAACAAAAAAACTTTGAATAGTCAACAGAGGTTTACTTTATTATTACTTTACAGACATTATTTATTATTTTATTATCCATTCTAGATACTATTACTAAATACAGGTATTCTCCCAATTACAATCAAATTGAATCTCCCACCACGTTTAGGAAAATTCATTACTACGTGTGAATTACGGATTTTGAAGATAACAACAAATATTCAGCATCAACTTAATTTAGAAAAATAATATATTAAAACTTTATATTTATGATAACTAAAATTTTTATTACTAATTAGTAGAAATGATTAACTAAATGAGCCAAAAAAGAGAATAAAATAAAATAAAATATTATAAAAGTTCCCACTTAACATGCTATAAAAACATTGCCACTGCCTCACTTTTCTCACGCACAAAAATGGGATTCTCCAAAACCTTTCTGTCTCTTTTCTTGTTCTTCATTTTATTTTCTTTATCTTATGCAACTTCTCGCATAACACATCAACAACGTTTTCCATCAACCACAAAATTTTCATCAAATCGACTAGCTGAACAACTTATAAGAAGCTTTAACTTATTCCCAAAGGATTCAGCTAATATACATGGTGAATACTCTATTGATGATTTCATCCCCGGAAATATCGTAGAGAAGACGTTTTCGTTTCTCGCTAGTTCTAATGGAACTTCTGTTGAAGATCTTGGTCACCATGCTGGATACTATTCGCTTCCTCGTTCCAAATCTGCAAGGTATTTTATTAAACTTATCTCTTCTTTTTTTTGTATACATATTTTCATTGTGTAACTTATGTTTGTTTATTGAATTTGAATTGCAGAATGTTCTATTTTTTCTTTGAATCAAGAAATGGTGCTAAGGATGCACCAGTTGTGATATGGTTGACAGGAGGACCAGGTTGTTCCAGTGAACTAGCTTTGTTTTATGAGAATGGTCCTTTTAAAATCAACAATGATTTGTCTCTTTCATGGAATGATTATGGTTGGGACAAGGTAATTATAACATTTATTATGTTGTTCTAGAGACATTTATTTATATTTAGAGTCATACTAAAACCAAAGACATTCGTTAACAAGTAGAATCAAGTTGTTCCACCAAATGTTACTAAATTTTTTTTTCTCATTTTGTAGGAATCAAATATTATTTTTGTTGATCAACCCATTGGGACAGGTTTTAGCTACAGTTCTGATGAAAATGATATTCCTACGGATGGAAGTGGTGTTAGCAATGATTTGTACGCTTTCTTGCAGGTATATAAAATATCATTTTTTTTCTATAAGTAATTTAGAATCATTACAGAAAGTGATCAAGATATGAATCACATACTTTGTAGAAATTATTTTAGATTAAAGTTTTTTTTTCTCAAAACTATTACAGGCATTTTACAAGGAACACCCTGAATTGGTTAAGAATGAATTTTATATTACTGGAGAATCATATGCTGGACACTATATTCCAGGTCTTGCTTCCCGAGTTCACAAAGGAAACAAAAACAAAGAAGGAATTCCTATAAACTTCAAGGTCTTTTACAGTATCCTAATAATATTGCATAAAATTATTGTTACTTTATGATATGTTATTATTTGCTACAAAAATGTTATCAAATAGAAATTATAAGACAATGTTGCCTAGTAGAAATTTTTATCACGAAATTTCTTCAATTCCTAATTGACAATATCGCGCTATGGCGCTACATCAACATTTTGATGACTTTGTTGTAGCCTTTATAAGTTATTTTTTCTTCCGTATTTTTATTTAATTACAATTTTAGGGTTTTGCTATTGGTAATGGGTTGACCAACCCAGGAATTCAGTACCAAGCATACACTCAGTTTGCAGTTGATAACAAATTGATCACAAAGGAAGATCAAGCTGATATCAACAAGTTGGTTCCAGATTGTGTAGATGCCACCAAAACATGCGGTACAAGATCTCTTACACTCTAATCACAATCCATTTTACTAGTATTGTCAAGTAGCGAGGTTATAGCATAATAGAATTTGAAAAAATCTATGTTTTTATGCAAGTGTTACATATAAAATTGTCCCTTGAAATTACAAATAATACTATCATTGAATTAATATATATTGTTTCTTTATGATATTAATTTGTTGTAGTTAATGTTTGATTTATAGAGAGTGAAGGTGGAGAAAGTTGCGAAACAGCCTTACAACAATGTCAACAGATATTTACTAATATCTTGGACATTGCTGGCAACATTAACGTAAGTAATCATAACTGAACAATACTTATTTTTATTTTAAATAATTTTCTAGTCCTATTTTAATGAAATTTGTATATTGAAAAACACAGTACTATGACATCAGAAAGAAATGTGAAGGACAATTGTGTTATGATTTCTCAAATTTGGAGACATTTTTAAATGAGAAGACAGTTAGGGATGCGTTAGGCGTTGGGAACATAGAGTTTGTTTCATGCAGCAGTGCAGTGCATAATGCTTTGGTTCAAGATTGGATGTTAAACTATGAAAAAGATATTCCAACACTTCTTGAGGATGGAATCAAAGTTCTTATATATGCCGGAGAATTTGATCTTATTTGCAATTGGCTTGGTCAGTGATCGATCCTATCCTAGCAACTTAATTAATCATTTTTGAAACCAAATTTGTGAATAACCAATCGCGATTATTTTTACCTCGTTTTCACTTGGCAGGGAATTCACAATGGGTTCACGCGATGAAGTGGTCAGGTCAAGAACAATTTGGGGCCTCCAAAACAGTTCCTTTTTTGGTTGATGGTAAAAACGCGGGATTGTTGAATAGCTATGGACCTCTCTCTTTTCTAAAGGTTAGTTTATAGTTTGTATTTTACTCATTGACATTGTTGATTCCATTTTTGGTTTGTTATATTTATGTGTTGTATAACAGGTGAATGGTGCTGGACATATGGTTCCTATGGATCAGCCAAAAGCTGCACTTCAGATGTTGGTTAACTGGATTGAAGGGAACCTGAACCAGACAAAAATTTAATTTTTTTTTCTCACTTGATTATATCATTTCAAGGTCAACATAGACAGTGATCAAAAAATAACTTTGTTGTATGCACGACTTTATGTTTAATATTTGGAGGGTGAAATTTTATATATTTTTGGTTGCAAATTCTTGTTGTGTTTACTTGTATGTAAGAATTTTATTTTACTTATTGTAAAAACCATCGTCACCTTTCTTCAAAATCTCTTCCTTGATCATTTGCAAGCAAAAGCAGAAAATTTCCCGCTGCATTATTATTAAACAGCCATCTTGAATTTTTCACATAAGATGGTCACCAACTTCATTTATAACACTAAATACCTATACTGCAAGTCAATTTTTTCATTTAGTATTTTTACCGTATACCTACGGAATTTGGCCATCAGTATACCGTACTCGTCCGTTGGAACAAATGATTGTTTTTTACCTACAAATTGGGCCATAGGTATACTGCCTTGTGAAAACTTTAAAAAGGTTTATACTGGTTTTTACGGTAGATATAGAACATACATAAAACTTGTAAATAATTTACCTATTGCTATATAATTTAGTGTCATAAAAAATATTATCGATATAAATGTTTTTAGCCATGGTTTTATTACCCATTTTACCCACGACATGTACCCTTGTTGCTTGTTTGGTTATCAATTTTTATGTATATAAACTTGCTTCATACTCATGGTGCCTAGTTATATATACTTTTATTTTACAAAATTAATCAAATTATGTACACAAATATAAAAGGATATATTTAAGAAGCAAAATAATACAAAAGCTTATCATGTTAGCTATTGTGTCTTGGTCTTGCTCAATATCAAATAAAGAGGAGTTGGATCAATAACAAATGGTTAGGATTTATATTATTACTCTTGGTAATCAACTTTTTGCATAGTAAGAAATTATCCTAATTCTAAAACAGAATTGGACGGAGACGTAGACATAGCGAGTACGATTGATGAACTTCTTAAACAAATCCTCGTGTCGCTCTCACTTATCTCTTTACTTACTTTACTTTTCATTAAGTAATTTGTTAAATAGCATTGATTGATCGATCGACTCGTAAGAATTTTTGTATGGATATTTTTGTTTTGAATTGGTTGTTGATTAGCTTATAATCACTTTGATTATAAGTGCTTTTTCATATCAACAATACTCAAAGAAAAATTCTGAAAATTCGTTCACACACGAAGTGTTTGACAAATTGTATAGTTCATAATTTTTGTTTAATTTTATTGGAAATAGAATTGCTAGTAACTTGCTATAAAAACCTTCTGCTTGCACTCTTTTCAATTAACTTTTTAAGACTTCAATTTTAATTGGTATTTTGGATTGGTGATTTATTCACCCCCTCCCCCCTCTACATAAATCGTCGTCGTCTAATAACAACCACTCATCTCAACTTATTGCTGCAACAAGACACCTATGCTCCATCACTCTCAACTCAATCTTGAAAGTTCTATTAGCAGTCATAGGAGCTTTAAGGACCAAAACACTATTTCCCTCCCTAACAATGCAATGTCTTGTCTTCCATTTGAATATTGTAACCCTTATCAAGAAATTGAACAATACCTAGTGTGATACGATGGGAGAACTGACTTGAGGTTTTGCGTTTTATCGCAAATGTTGCGTTTAGCAAGAGTCGCCACCGACTTTTCTTTTATCCAAAAGGAAAGATGAAAAAGCACAGGAAAGACCTTTGAGATTGTTTCTTGAGTTCGGGGGGTAGATTATGAAAAGGGAAGGTATTAGCACCCTTTTCATCCATGGTTTTCCATAGGCTCTTAGTTACTTGCTAGATCACTTGCTTTTTGTTTTGAAATTGTGTTTTGTGTGGTTTTGAAAGTATTTTGTAAAAGAGGCCTTTGTTTAGGCAATCTTTGTAATGATTCTCGTTCGTAAGAATGTATACAAAGATGTTTGTCTTTTTGAAAAGGTTTTCAATGTTTGGAAATGTATGTGTTTGTTTTGAAAATAGCAAGGATAGTTGTTTGAAAATAGAGCAAGTAACTAGAAGCAATCTACCTACTCAAATGTCTTTCTTGTTCATTTTCTATTCCTTTGACATTGTTGTCTTATCATTGATTTGGTACGCAACTGTGATCGGTGGATCTGGAACTGACTGTTTAACGCTGGTTCACGAAATGTCGCGGTAAGCAAGAGTCGCCACCGTCTTTTATTTTCTCCAAATGGAAAGGACAAAAGCACAGAAAAATTCCTTGAAGAGATTGCTCTCGGTTCGGGAGGTAGGTTATAGAAAGGGAAGGTGTTAGCACCCTTTCTATCCATGGTTATCCATGGGCTCTTAGATACTTGCTCACTTGTGTTTTCAAAAATGATTTGTTTGCTTTTCAACTGTGGGTTTTAAAAAGTTTCTTTGAAAATTCCAGTTCGACTCTTGTATCGGTCCTCAAGAGTGTTTGAAAAATTGCTTTCGAAAGCTTTTTGAAAAGGTGTCGGTGTGAAAAGTATTTTTTGAATTTGTTTTGAAATTAGAGCAAGTATTTAGAGTCGTCTACCTATCCTAAGGAATTCGTCTGTGTAAATTTCCTTTAAAGTAGTGCCATCCCACCATTGAGAGGTAGGTAGCACCACCATTGGAGGTGTTCGGGTCAATTCGAAGGTTCGGGACATGGTGATCACCAGAGCAATGGGAAGACACCTTAGAAGCTACCCTCATGCCAGGTTCCCGGATCATGAGGACTTACTAAGACATCCTCTACTCGACGATCACCTTTCGAGGGGCAAGGCAACAGTGAAGCGTACCCTAGGGGTGGTGTGTGATTTGTGTGTCATGTTCATTTATTTTGTCTTGTCAAATCATGGGTGATCTACGCGTTGCTTTTATTTTAACATTCATTCTTGCATGCAAATTTATTAACAGTTAAAAAGATGCGGAAAATTAAAGTTCCTAAACTATTACAAAGGCGCGGGTCCACATCACCAAATTAAATCCAGGACCCGATTTGACATAAAATAAAGTAAAGTGCGAGAAATATAAATGTTTAGCTTACACGGCTTTGGGAGAATTACATAAGAATTATAAGAAAGGAAATAAGAATACAATGCGCGAAGAGAATAAAAATCGAAAGCGAGGGCGTTGGACCCTTTTTAATGAAATTAAATTATATTAACAAATTAATTAAATTAAAATGAAAAGAAATTATTTTTTTGAGTTTTTGTAATTATGAATTTTTTAATGAGAACTAAATGAAATTAAAAAGATTAATTAACCCTAATTCTAGTTTTTTAATTTATTAAGAAAAGCATTTAAAATTTTGACCTAAAATTAAACCTAATTAATTAATGAAATTTTATTTACAAGAAAATATAATTAATTATTAATATGGTGAAAAAGAAAAGGTAAAAATAATCAACACCCTAATTCTACAACTTTTTAAGTTTATTGAGAAAAATGTTTGAAATTAAGCCTAGAACTAAATTAAATGATATAATTTATTTACAAAGAAATATTAAATCAAATATATTTATTTTTTGTCTTTTCTGTTTTTTTATATTATTTTTATGTTTTTATGAAATAAATTAATTTAAAGAATTAAAAAGAGAAACAATTGAAACAAATAAAATAAAAGAAAGAAAAGAATTGCAAAACCTTGGGGGGTTCTGTCCCCAAATTGGAGGTATAACTCAGTAATTCTGGCCCATTAGAACCCTGGCCTTGTTGACTTTATTGGCCACGTGTAGCTTCATTGACTTATGCCTATAGTACTCTTCAAATCAAGGCCTTTGGATTGCCTTCAGTAGCCATGTGGCGTGCCTGGATTGTGAGTGTATGGTAGGATTTTGAATAGAACGCTGCACGCAAGTATGGTTAGAAAAATAATATGGAACAAGAAAGGGGGACCTGGGATTCGAACCCAGGTCCCAGAGATTACCACCTCAACGCTTTGACCAACTGTACCAAACACGCACTTTGTTTATTATATGACCAATGAATAATATCAGTCAATGCAAGGGTTAACAATATTTTTCCGCGCGAAATTCAAACGAGCTAATCACTGGCCTACACATCATCATCTTCCCCACTTGCTTGTTGTGCCTGAAACAAAAAACAGATTACATAGTGGGGGTTTTAAACCCCCACTAAATGGCAAGTGCAAAAACAGCGATTAGAATATGGTGGCTCATAAATTAAGCGCGAGTAGTGTGTTCAGATCGTCCAAGCCTCCTGAGTTTAATGGTCTAAGTCTCGTGTTCCAATTTTACCCTATGCCAGAATCCCCAATTCAAGGTCTCTGAAAACCTAGAATGCTTCAATGGTGGATCCTCCAATTTTGCACGAAAACTCAATTAAAGTATACAGTTAGCTTTAGAATCAATCAATTAGTGTAAATCCACAAACAAATTGCAATGAGAATGCTTGAAAATTGAAACACGAATATGCATATAATATTAAAAAGTTTGAGTTCTATATACCAATTCTGGGCGTGTGAGGATTGAAAAATAATGCAGTTAGGTTCAGTGAAGCTTTTGCAAGCTATTGCAATTGGTATTTTGCCTTGGAAAGCCTTGGAACCATGTTTTCAGTTTTAGAATTTTTCACAAAAAGTGCAAACTTTTTTCTTCTTTTCTGGCGCAGCTTGGAGGTTCCTAGCACTAGGGTTTGCATCCTTCTTATGTATGGAATGATTAGGGTTGAAAATTGGATCCAAAAAACCTTTGCGTTGATGTACAAGATATTGGATTTTCATGCATATATTTTTCAATCTTTTCCATGCATATTTGATACCAATCATGTCCAATCTCTTTGATTCTTTCCATATTAGATCATGCACGAGATTTTGAGGATATTTCATGCATAAAAAGATTTAAAAAGCTTGCCTTGGTATTTTTCACATATTTTAATTAATTAAATGAATTATTAGCAATTAAAAATTCAAATAAATAAATAAAAATGATGAATAACTTCCCTTTGGGCCAAATGGTCGTGCACATGTTTTGGATGATGAATCTTGGAGGAAAAAGAGGCCCATTAGCAATTT